TGGGGGAGGAGGCCAACCCTGGGCTGGAGAGGCCATGGGGGAGGAGGCCAACCCTAGGCTGGAGAGGCAGACAGGCTAAGTAGGTCTAGCAGTGGGCATTACCCTGACTGCCCAGTGGGCCGATGCTGTCTAGCAGTGGGCATTACCCTGACTGCCCAGTGGGCCGAAGTACCAGCGTCTTGGGAAGCCCTCAAGTGCTGAGACAGGAACTCTACTCCCCTCTGCCTGGACAGAGCCTGATACTTCCCACCCTGGGGTTTGTGGAGGTGGGGCACAGACACATGCCAGAGCTGTCCAGGGGTAGGCAGGAGCAACCAGAATGGGGGTCAAGTGTCTCTTGCTCGTAGCCCGCCCCCCTTTCCTGCAATGGAGTGCAATTACCCACTAAGATGACTGTGCAGCCCCTGCCGTCACCACTCACCCGCCAACCTTCACAACATGGCTATTTATAGCACCTGCAGGGCTCTCACCATGAGCTCTGAAATGAGCCTTCCACTTAGCAGTGATGAGAGACTTATCGCCTGGCGGGGAGAAGCCACTCCAAGCCTCCACTTGTCTGCCTGCCTGGCCAAACTAGGATTGAGGAACCCCACCAGTTAAAGCAAAGAGGGGCAAAAAAAAAAGGAGGCCTCAGGGAAAGACGGGAGGAGTGGGCCTGAGAGGTTTCTGCTGCCAGGACCTTTAGCAGCCAGCTGGAGGGAGGATTTGTCCACGAGGCCATGTAGGGCGGGAGGCTTGGCCCCAGGTCTAGCAGCACCTCAGCCATAATGCCATGGGTGACCCAGACAAGGTCTTTCATCCTCAATCTCTGTGCTCACTACAGAATGGGGTGCCCTAGTCCTGACACCTCTAGGGTCAGTGAAGGAAGTCATTATTATTTTTCACAATTTATTTTTGTTGTTTGAGAATACACACAGCAGAACATACAGCAATTCGACAATTTCTACAAGAACAATTCAGCGACACTGATGACATTCTTCAAGTTGTGCAACCATTCTCACCCTCCTTTTCCGAGTTGCTCCTCCCACATTAACATAAACTCACTGCCCCCTAAGTTTCCTATCTAATCTTTCAAATTGCTGCTGTCAATTCGATCCCATAAGAAGTCGTCATTTTTAATAGTTTGAAGTGTTTTTGCCAACCTGGGTGCTCTCTGGGCCTCCAGCTCATGAGTCTACCTCCCTGCCCATCAGGGGCAGCTGTGGGGGCCTGGGGTACAGCAGAGATGCTTTCTCAGCGGCACCTCCCAGCCTCGGGGACAGGCCAGCCACCCCCAGCTCCTCCCATCTCTGAACACACCAATGGCTGCCTATGGCTGCCTAGGCTTTTCCAGCTCTCTGTGGGTAGGGGATACTCACCCAGTCCTGGCCCAGAGGTGAGGCTGAGTAAGAACACAACATCAGGAAGCAAGAGGTACTCAAGTCTAGGGAGCACGTAAGAGACACTGAAAAGGCCCAAGGCCCCTCCACTGCCAGCAACTGGGGGCAGGCATCTGCCTGTTTGCTGAACCCCACTCAGCAACTGGGCCCAGTCACCACGGCCAGGATCAAGGAGGTTCCCTAAAGAAGGTCCAGGTCCTTCTCTGGTGGCCAGAAGGAACAAAAGGTCCCCCGAATCCAGTCAGGGAATGGCCTTCACCAGCATCCCCATGTTCTGGACATTCAAAGTGTCCAAAGAGTAGCAACTGAGTGGCTGCTGGCCACCTGGCAGCCCATCATTCCAGGGCTGTAGATGGCTGGCTCTTGGGGATTTTCCAGGGACCAGAGTCTGTGTCCACCCAGAGTCCAGGCACAATGAGGACTCTACCACAGCCCCCACTGGCGCTCAAGCCACCTCCCCAGCTTCCATTCTGGATGAACTTGGCAGGAGCAGGATAAGAAGGAGTAGTGCTCTTTCTACCCTCCCCTCTAGGCCAGGCATCAGGGTGGGTAGCGCTAGGCAGCCACCCTGTGCCACCTGCTCTGCCAGCCCCCTCGCTGGCAGGCAGGTGGCAGTTCTGTGGCTGCTCTGCGCATCTGCCTCCTCCGGAGAGCCCCGCTCTGAAGTTGCCTGGCTGTGGACAGCCCCGTTGCCATGGAAACTGCATCCTTCATCCTTGCTGCCGCCTTCATCTTAAAGCCATCAGGAGAACAGAGGAACGGGGGAGACAGAGGAGGGAGAGGAAACTGTGGCCCAGCTACACAGCCCTTCCTTCCCTGCCCAGCCCTCCCTCCTCACAGCATCCCACACAGGGAGTGCCAGCTGCCTGAGCCTGCCCCCAGGTCCCTGGAGGAGGGGGGCAGCCTTGTACCCAAGCCCAGCCTCCCCCTCTGCCACCTCGGGGTCTGTGACCCCCCCCCCCAGTGGAGAGAGGCATGGAGCTAATTAAAATCTCATTGACGGTTCAGCTCCAAATCATAACAAGTGCCGGATCCTGTCAAAATTCAGACTCAGAGACAGAGGAGAATGGGCAGGGAGAAGGCAAAGGGGGAAAACTTCCAGCCCAGGCCTGCAGGCAGGAAAGAGCTTATACTTGTCCCTGCACCCCCTCCTGGAACACCCCTCTCCCTTCCATGTTCTGCCCACTGAGCAAGAATGGGTCCAGTAGGGGTTTGGGACAGAGGGTGAGGGGACAGAACTAGTCATATGCCTGTCCCTGAGTGATCAGGCAGAGAGGACAAGCCCTTCCCCTCCCAGCCAGGTGCGGCCTCAGAGGGAAGAGGGACAGCCACAGCCAGCTCTCAGGTCCTCACTGCACAGAAGGAGTGTGGCCCCAGGGCGGCATGTTGATGAGGCGGTAAATATTGGAAATCGTCAGAGGACGACAAGGACAGCTGCCTCTCACTCAGCGAGCCCCAGGGAGCCCTTGGTGAGCCAACACAGATGGACAAGGACACCAGCTCAATGCCACACTGGGCTGGCGCTGCTAAGGGGCCTGAATGGGCCAATAGGCCTGGAGTCCTCCCAGCCCTGAGCACACCGCCTCCGGCAGCCCAGGCAGCCAGAGGCTTGAGGAAGCATTGCTGGGACAGGGGAACCTGTTCTGGCCACTGAAGCCATTGGCCATCTGACAAGGCCAAAGCCCAGAGCAGCTCACTCCCACACACAGACTCAAGGAAACTGTAAGAGTCCTCTCCAACGTGGGAGAGATGCAGACACCCACAAGCCTCCTCACCTAACAGGAAGAAAGCGGAGTGAATCATGCCAAGGTGACATCAGGAACTGCTGGAAACTAGATTCAGGAGTTCCAGTCCCTCAGACACACCTCCAGGGCGTCCCTCCCACTGCGTGCACAAACAGAAACAGAGGGGGATCTGAGACATTACCCATGATGCAAGGGTTTCCAGGGGTCCTCAGCCACCAGCACTTGCCCCACCAGCTCTGGCTCACCCCCACAGGGGTGCTGGCAGACACAGGATGGAGCAGCTCACCCAGCTCGTACAAGGCTGCCATGGTGCCACTGGCTCGGCCACCTTGGGAACACATCACACACTCACTCCCTCCCTCACTCAGGCCGAGCTCACCTCCTGGCTGGGGGTGGGGACAAGCATTCAGCCCACTCAGCTGAGGGCTCTGCAAAGGGTCAGATTAGCGTGCTGGGCCAAGGTGTCCCCACAGGACCCATGGTGTCTCTGCCAGCAGGTCTCACTGAATCAGAGGAAGGAGGCAAGAGAGATGACCTAGGCTTGCTCTCAGAGTACAGGCCTGTGCCCTCGCTTCGCTGGGTGTGGGGCAGGGAAACAGAAGAGGTCAGGCCCAGGCTGGAGACTGAATGTAGGTCCTGCCCCCAGGCTACCCTGAGGCTGGGTCTGCTCAGAGCTAGGTGGCCTTAAATCCCCAAAGGGAGGGAGCAACGAGTCTGGGCCAAGGACTGGGCCACACAACTACACAAGCTCTGGGCCCAAAAAGGGATGAGGCCTGCCTGACCCATGCCCTTCCCCACCCCACCACAGCCCCTTACCTCCTGCCTCAGGGTGAGTGCCCCTGGGCCTCCCTCACCTATACTGAGCTGCCCAGTCCTACCCGTCCCTCCACATGCCAGGCTGGACAGCAGGGCAGCCACACAGCCGGCAAACAGCTG